TCCGTCCGAACTAATTTCGGGACTCCGAAAATACATGGCTCGTCGTCCGTAGATCCATGTGTATAGCCCAAAAGGCCTTGAAACCGTCCTTCAGGCACATTTGCCAGTTCTGCTCAGGGAATCTCTTGCCTGGATTCACTCGCCGCACCAGCTTGCCGAACATCAGCCGTTTCGTAAGTCGCCCATCCGGCTGCCTTGCAAATAAATGCTCCCGCGAACAATAATCGCCGTTGCCAAACAGTAGGTTCCACGCTCTGGCACTCTACCCTCTTCAGGGTCTGCGCCTGGGAGAGTTGCTGCCGGTAGGTGCCCCTTGTACGCTGGCACTTTACCCGATAACTCGCAGGAGCAGCCGGTGACGCATCGGCCTCAACAACCGGTAGTGGTCGCGACGTAGTGCCCATATCATGCAGCCGCAGCAGTGCCTCCATCGCCTACGCCTGGAGCAGGCGAGTCTTGAGTCGGAACGGTGCTCTCGACCTGTCGAAGAGCTCCCGGCCGAACCTCCTGACGCACGCCGCTGTCCTCCTCCTGTAGCGGATCTCCCCCGGGTTGGGTCGCCATGGTCGTTGACGAGGCCACCTATAGGTACGTCGTCTGGACCTACCTCTGCCCTGCTGTTTCAACCATCGGCGGCGGTGGCGGGGGGGGGAGCGGTGGTGTCGGCTGCTTCTCTTGACGCGCACCAAGAGCGCCTCCGTCTTCTTCTCCGACACCGTCGGAACGAACTCCCCGACCGCCTCCACGATCACGGCCGTCATTCTCGCTAGTCCGACGACTGACCTCGATACAACGCCGGCGTCATCGGCACATAGCATCCTCCATACCGCCCTCCGCACTCGGTCAAGTGGTGTCCCCGCCCGTAGTAGCCCACATGAAACGATGAGCCAGCGATACCACCTGTACCAATGATCTGTATAAAAGTCCTGACTTACAGGTAGGTGGAGTCAGTTTTCCTTGGGGCGGAGACACAACACGAACATGCTTGACTGTGTCATTGTCATTAGCTGTAAAGACGCGTTCTGGAAATTGGTGTAATTGTGAGATGTGAGATGGTATCGGAGCGGGGGAGATAAAGGACGAGAAACCTGGGCTCAACCGACACACACCCGAATCGACACATCGAATCATCAACCTCTTGGTCACCCATCGTGTAACCAAACACGGATGCGTCCGCGGGGTCCACCACAACCTACCGAAGGGCTTCCGTTACATCGACTTGGCATGAGCAAAAAGAATTGTGAGCGACGTGCCACGAACTTGTCGTAAGAACAGAAGTCGCTACAGCACGTTTTGTCTCACAAAAGACAAACAATCAGGGGCCTGGGCGAAATCAACGTCCCTTTCTTTTTACGCTTGACTGCAACTGCTCCCCTGCGAAGAATATATTATGAGATCCTGAATCATGCGAAATTTGGGTTCATCGACTACACCACACCGAGAGGGGGGAACGCGTGCAAATAAATTTTGCGAGGGCATTTTTGACGTCTAAAAGAGCCGCACACATCCTGATTAACAAGTGGTATATCTTTGTTTGGGGATTGGTCCATACTAACACCCTCTCGGGACCCGATCGGTTTTGCTTCAGCCTCATCCTCCACGGTAATCTGCGCATGTATACAAATGCAACTTTTAGCGTGGACTATCGCGACGAAGACCAAGCATCCCAATAGCCATTGTGGTGTTGACCGCGTCGATCACACCACGGCACAACAAGCGTTATCCCTGTTGGTCAATGAACGACGAGATGGTTGGAACCTTCGCCCACTCCAAGCTGAATGCGCAACAGAACCGTTTCGGTCAAGCGTAGAGCTACTAAACGTTTGGGCAGGACCAAGTTCACGCCAACTGGATTTCTTCCTCCCATCTACGCCGTCGGTCGCCAAAGCTTGGCACGCGACCAGGTGGACTACAGTAGTTTAACACTCGACGCGGTCGATTCCCGTGGTCACAGGCTAACTTACCCCAAAAAAGAATACAATCACAACGTGGACCCGAAGGGTCCGCAAGTCAATAGAAATCAACGGCAGATAGGCTAGGACCCTCCGCTCGCCTCTGGACGCTATGCGAGGTAAACAGAGACTGCGAGTCATCATCACGGACCAGAGAGGTCTAGTAGGCATATTCCTGGTTCAATGTTGGTTCTTCGCAGAAAAGAAGAGAAGATCCTCTGGAAAAAAAAAAAAGAGAAAAAGAAAAAGAAAACAGAAGGCGAAAAAGTGGAAGACACACACAAGAACAACCAATACAACTGTAACAAACATACAAACGACAGGGCCACCACAGACAGCAAAGGCACGTGTCATCGCTCGTGTGGGGGTGGTGCAATGGTGATGGGTAGTCAATCAGGGGTTCAATCCGGCACCTATCGCGCCACTCGGTCCGTCTCGTCGTTTTGTTCCCTCGCCATCTTGTCCGTCTACCGCCCTCCTTCCACCCCCGTTTGTTGTTGCGATGTCCGTACTGTTACTGAGCTTGTTGTTTTGTTTGAGCGCTTGTTGTCAGCTAGCCTCCTCTTCATCCTTAACTCCCACGTGAGGTCGCCATGTTCGTTGACGAGGCCACCTAGGTACCGGAACTCAGTCGTCTAGGCGAACCTCTGCCCAGCTGCTTCGGTGATCAGCGGTGCCGACGGGAACGGCGAGGGCGATGGTGTTGGCTTCACGCGCATCAGGAGCGTGTCAGTCTTCTTCTGCGACACCGTCAGCCCGAGCTCTCCGAACACTTCCACGATGACGGTCTTCATTCTCGCCAGTCCCTCGGTGAACTTCGATACAACGCCGGCGTCATCGGCATATAGGATCCCCCATAGGGCCTTCCGCACTTGATCACGTGGTATTCTATTCACGACGAAATTACAACGTGCATGCAGGATGTTTGCACGACATAGTTTAGTCAACTAAAATGAGCTAATGTACTCCCTCAATACGTAGGGAAGGAGGAGATAAACACAGCAACAAGTTGAGATTAAATATGATGGTGTTTTGTATGTGTGTCGTTGCGTATGTGTAGGGGTGTTTGTGAGTAATGACATGATGACTAGCTGGGTATCATGCGTGCATCATAAGTCTTATGGAGGAACAACGAAATAGAAAGGGAAGGGAGCAAGTGCGTTGCTCCTATTTGGCGTCGGGTACTCACAGTTGTTGTTTGATCTCTTGTTTGAACCTTGTTAGAGCAGGCTCGCTTGGAGAGAGTGCGGGAGCGGGGCTGTGGGATTCTGATCTTCCTTCCATCCTCCAATACCCCACAACGAGGGCAAGCATCCATACCCAACGAAATTAATTCAAAAGATCCTTTAAGCGCTCACGCAACGCTTATTAAGCGCCCATACAATGCTCATGCTAGTTGATCAATTCCATTATAGGTGGGTGTCTTTCATGTGAGTGATCGATGAATGACGGGAAATAAAAATGTTAGAATGATGTCGTGTTGAACGCCTGGTTTCGCCCGAAGACTCCTCGGTGGGGTGATACTCAGAAATATGCGCGTACATGTAATGCATACCACAAGGTCAGGTAGATAAAATGTATGCGAAGATGATGCGAAGTACAACATTTTTTATCTGTTGTAGTCTAGATAGGCTTCTTGTGCCGTGCGTGGTATATATATTTTTTCGTGCTTCATTTTCCCTTCCTACAGCAACAATCGAGCAGGAGTCAGCAGTCCGAGCGCGGGAGTAGTAGTCACGGATTTCTTTTGTTTCTCCCTTTTATTACTTTTTTCGCGGCTCTCCCCACCTTCGCTGTGTTTTCTTGTTCGCTGTACAAGAAGCAAATAACTTTGTACCTCGTGCATATAGATTACAGGTGTATGTGTGTATGTATGAAATGAATGTGTACATTTCCGTCCTCTTGTTGGCGTGGAACTTGCTCTGAGTCTGTCTGGCGGTTGGAGATTAAAATATGGATTGAACTTCGAATGATGCGTGCTTTGCGTTCAGGCGAAGAAACCGTCGGAAGAGGCTGGTTAGAAAATAACCATCCATCCACCATGATTGTTGGTCGAGAGAGAGAGAGGTCGCGAGTGATATCTTCAACGTGGCGACGACAGCGACAGAACAAAATATGATGGGGATGACGAGGACAGCAATCCCAAAAAATACACCCAACAAGCAGCACTACTATCAATTCAAGCAAACAAAACAAAGCAACAACAGTGAACGAAAAGAGAGGTAACGTCTCCCAAACCAATTGAAGCAAATTATCACCCAAGTCTCACCGCGACACACAGCACCAGCATCACAAACGAAAAGACAATGCGGAAAATACAATTTGTCGACATGCGGCTAGGGGTAAGGTAGCGATGGTTTTGAACCCGCATGTCTCTAAGTGAGCGGCTCTATGGAACCACCGATGCTCTACCAATACCTCGAACTTCTCACGACGCTTCTTTGTACGATATGCTCCTTCTGCGACGTCTGACTCATGGAGGATTCAGAGGGAAATGGCAGAGCGGGGGCACAGGAGGAGGAGCACGAGGACAATCGACTCCCCTCCGTTTGTGACGCCGAGGGATCTACAGAGCAAACGCCAATCTAAAGCCCGGTTGAACCATTGAGGGAGGAACCTCCCTTCTACTATTTGAGCTTGCTAATCGGCTTGACACAAAGGGAAGAGCAAGAGACTTCGTATCCGCGAGTCGACGACAGACCGCTTACGTGATATCGAACCACCATGATCTCAACGGTCGACGGCGCTAGAGCTGCGGCTGACGCCAACGCAGCAGCCGCTTTCAGACATAAATAAGCTCCAATAGGAGGCTGTCGGTACGGTCACGCCGGTACAACCGACAAAGACACGTTGATAAGCATAGATAGCGAGACCACTGTGGACGTCACACCAGACTGGATTCGAGGAGACAAGCTCGGTGTGAAGAGGCCCTGCAAACAGAGCGTGCGCTCGGTTGGTGGCTATGCCGCTCAACCCCGGGAAGAAAGAAGCAAAGTCGAGGTCGCTGCGCCCCCCCGAAAGGAAAAATATCGAGTAATAAAACTAGGAGGAGCGTCAACAAACACCAGCGTTGCCGCAGCAGCCACTCCAAGCCATCTACCGCTACCTCATACTCCATTCCCTGGGGACAAGGGACCCGCTTGCAGGAAAGACGACGAGGATTCGGCTCAGGATGTCCCCGTGGACAGGAGAGGAAAGTGAGTGCGCTTTTTCGGAGAAACAAATTTCGGCAGCAGCGATCTGGCCCAGTTAACCAAAGAACGTCCAAGGACTCACATTAGCAAAATCGGCGTTGTCACCGAGGTCAACCAGACTCGGAAAAATCAGCGAAAACAGAAGCGCGAACAAACCACATACATGTTGATTACAAATCGCCAGGCAAAGAGCCACACCGATCGATCAACCTCCTACCGCACGCGGATAGGCACAAGTACAACAACAGGCGTAGACCGCCAGAGGCCTGCACAATGTGATGCTACAGTACGCCACGCCCTCGATGCTACTATCGCTCTTCGAGCCAATTGTTGCCGCAAGCGTGACACAACACCCTTAGGATCAGCTCGGGAGCGTCCTTCTTGCCGAAGGTCTCCGCCTTCCGAGTCCCGACGGCCGCCCCGCCAATGATGTCAAAGCTGGTGTTGTCGGATTCGCACGACTCGCACTGGTACTCACCCGCGCGGGGGGCGGCGGCGGCGATTGCCGCGGCCCTCTCGTCTGCCGCAGACCCCTCGGCCTACACCATTGTTGGGAAAGGTGTTGACGCGGATGGTATGGAGAGATCAACACCAGAAACTCGGACCATCCTGTTTGTCCTCAATAGTGTGATAAGGAGAATGGAGCCTATACCGACGACTTACCGCAAAAACTAAAAGTAAAACGCTTGCGGCCACAAGGATGTACGGGCTATGTGTACCTTGGTGGGTACATTTAGCGGAACTTAAGAAAGACAGAGTCGGCGCAATTCGCTCCGCGGTCGGCATATAGGCATGCCGTGGTTGAACAATAAGCATGGTGTTTCGTCGCTTCACATGTAGATCGATGCCACGAACAGCCATCCGCAATCTGGCCCATCCAGAATTACAGTTAAAAACATAGCATATAACGTGCTGGAGGAACGCGGTGCCAACCGATATGGTGTACCTGACGCCTACAACGTACGCACACGCACAAACCTCTTCGGGGGCGTCCAACTCGTGTCCCACGGCCCAGTAGCTTTTCGGTCGGGTTCTTCGTCGAGCGAAGGGATCCACTGCCGCCGCCGCTGCTGCCTCTTTCTCCTCTTTCTCCTTCCGCCGCCGTTTTGTCGCCGACGAAGCGGAGCCCGACGACTGGTGTTCCGGATTCTTCCCGTTTCGTTCCGGATGTTTGCCGTTTCGCACCGGTTTTAGGGCCATGCCGATCGAGGCTAGGGGGTCATCCTCGACCCTCTTGCTAACGTCTCGCGACAGTCGACCCACGTCGTCTGCGACTGATTGGAACGCCTCCCTCCACATCTGCCAGTGAGCATGATCATCGGAACACAACATCACAGTGCTTGGGAAGTGCTACAAGTAGTGGTCCTATGGTGAAGAGAGGAGCATTGGTTGTATCAGGTGGTCCGCCGACAGTGAGCACACGGATTGTTTGTTGGTGCTGATGCAGGGGTGCGCTGGACCTCTCGAGGCACACCCAATACTGCTGTCGCTAACACAACGTGCAGCGTGCATAACGTTGTGAAAGGTGCCGCATGGAAAACACGGAGGCCCCAAGTTAGGAAGAAAGCTCTTGCCCATGAATGGTGATAAAGTGTCCCACTCAGCACACCTGGTACTCAAGGTACACGCACCTGCTAGTCACACCACACACAAAAAGCATGAACTTCTGATGGTGTTGGGGGTAAAATGAGGCGCAATTATCATGTGAGGCAAAAGAACGGCTGGATCGCGGTGACCGTCCCACAGCACGAGCGATGCTCCAAGCCGAGCTACTCTTCGCCATGGCTCGGTTCCCGCCTTCCTCAAGAGATCGCCAACAACAACTCAGCGCCTGAGCCCGTCGCCCGCTTACCTCACGAAAAGCAGGGAGCTGGTCGTCAAGCGCTCTTCGGTTCATGACGATCGCTTTCTGCGGGTGATCGCTTGAGTGGTTGCTGGTATGGAAGTGCTGGGGGCAAGATCAAACAGGCACCATGAAACAACGCCGAGAGGGATACGATGCAATATTCCGGCGACCAGACCATCACAGACGGATATGCGCGCGGTTTACGTCGTATTCAGTGAATGGCACCACAATTGTCCAGCAGCATTTCCTGTGATGAGTTCTTTCAGGGAAGGGTTGGAAAATCAAGCAACCACCAAGGTGACAAACAGTCGCGTTGAGAGACGTCGACAGCTGCTGAGGCCGTGCCTACGTAAAACGCGAAACGATGAACAAATTCATCCCGTGTGCAATCGCCAAACCGCAAGGTTTTTTGTGGCCTAGATCTTCTGTGTGACCACGGGTTGGCGTTAAACGGCACAAGTGCTGTGAGCGCTGATTTGATATGAAGACGAAAAACAAAAAAGATCTTGAGAACCTGACCCCGCCGTGCGCAGAGCGGAGAGAATTACGCGCAGAACGGCATATTTATAGCCGCTGGCGCATTTTAGCTTGGCTCAACTTTTTGTATTTTTCTGTCTCTCGTCTTCAGCTCTCTCTGTCCCTCTTAGAATGGGATGTCGACTATTAAATGCAGCGTGTGTACAAATACGCTATCTTTTATCAGGGGTAAAACTTTGGTTCTAAAGAGACTAAATGATGGCCAACCGAGGGCGCTAAAATAAAAATCTACGCAAACACCTGCAGTATGTATGTAGCGGTTGTTGGCGTTTTCATCGCGGACAAAATGCTAGCGAGCCTCGGGCAAACAAAAGGCTTTCTACAGTTGTTCTTGTTTTGTTTTGTTTTATTTTTCTCCCATCATTGGACTCTGTCGTCTGCCCCTCTGGCCCCTATCCTCCACTTCTACTAGCTAGACGACCCAACCGGGGTCACATAGGAGGGGGGGGTTGGACCCCCTCCTGCGGTTCATGCCTGAGGTATTTTTATCGCGAGAAGGGTACAGCAATCCCTTCCCTCGCGACTTACGAAGTCGATTATGATTTACTAACAAACGAGCTTTGCAGCACGTCGCTTTCATCCTAGACCAGGATTTATTTAGCGAGAAAAAACTCTCGTTGCCGGGACTCGAACCCACGACCTGGCCCTTCGCAGGCTGCGAGGCTACCCACTAGACCACCGGGGCGATGTGTGTACAGTGTACGCACGTGTTGCAATGTTTTTCCAGCGTGCAGTTGTGTGCTTACGGTGCGCCACTAGGCCGGCCCTCCGCCTACACAGCTTTAGTACTGAGAGTCCACCGACGACGCCGTCACCCATTATGAAAATTCTCGAAAATATCTAAACGTATATACACAGGGAGGGTCACGCAGTGAGAGAGGGAGAGAGGCAGCCAGGCAGCCAGGCATCCAATAGGCAGCGATGACTGCAGTGACCGAGATACTGCTGTGGAGACTTCCGACGACGAGCTGACTGCTGTACAGCATGCAGCAATACAAAGTACTTGTAGTACTCTTTCTTTAAAAAAATGTGCATAAAAACACAGAAAGACTACCCGTTCGAGATATAACCGCAGTCGAAAGGCAAGTTCTTACCGAAAGTCTTTTCAGTGAGTAGAGGGAAAGCTTCACCTCTCTCGTCTCTCGTGCGAATCTGCAAAATCTTGGCGCAGAAACCATCATTCGCGCAACTTCTATACTTTTATATTTCAAACTTGAAACATTGAGCGCTAGAAGCAGGGTTAAACAAAGAAGTAGCAACCACATACACCCAACGCTCAACACATTGGGTGAAGCACCGCGAACAAAGAGGAGGCAGTACTATTTAACATGTTTACACCCTGCTCGCCCCCATGATGTCTTGTACTTACCCGGAGACAGTAGCGAGTGCCGCAACATTGCACGCACGACTCTCGCTTGTAGCAACGACTGCAGAGAAGCTCACGTGCCGTTCCTGATGATGATTTAGCACCGCCCGACATCCACGAGAGACAACGCCGCACACAGAGCAGCCACAGATGTACCTAGCAGCCTAGCCAAGTAGTCTACAAGTGACGGAGCTTCAGCTCAGCGTCAGCTGATGAGCGACGGGCAAGCAGGCGGCGAGATTAGGGGCTCCGTTGATGTATATCATAACCCATTTTCCCCATCTTCCTGTCCCCCCGCTTGGTTCCGCATGAGGCGGCAGGCGGCAGGCGGCAGGCGCAGTCGCCTGTACCTCCCTGCTAGGACTGTTTGTCAAAGCTGAGGTGTGTCGGAATTGGTGCCATCCCTTCTTCAGTAGCCATGAGTGGAGAAGCTGTACCCGATTCCGAGGAGGATGATTCCGACTATGTGCAAGGTACGCGGACACTCCTATGCTGTGTCCAACGACCTTTTGCCTGGCTTTCCTCGAGTACGAACAACACCCCCAGCCGTTTTGTGCCGCTGTGCTGCCATTAGCAAACGTAGCGCACTCACTAGGATTATCTCTTGGTAAAGTCTGAATTTAATGCCCTTGTGTTGCTCTGGGAAGCCAAAAGCTGCACTGCTGTCGTGCCTTTTTCATTGGCCCATCCGATCTAAACGTTGGTACAATACGCACACCAACGTTTCAATCCGAGGGAACGGCTGCGAGTCCATATTCAAACACTTGGCTCTACACACAGCAGAACACCGCAGCAAGCAGTAGCTGACCGCCAGCGTGAGTTGAACAAAGGAATGATGAGTATTTACAAATTGTTACCACAACCGAGTACCGCTCTTGTAGGAAACAAAATGCACCCCATGGCATGTTGGGCACTGCCATGACAACCTTGTACCAAGAGAACACGCAGACTATAGCACGTCGCAAGTGTGAGATCAAACAAGGACAGAGGGCGGTACTAGATAGCGAGATCGGAACGGTTTTCTATGTGAAAACAACAGCAACAGCAACAACACCTGTTTTTCTTTCGGCCCTATGGCGTCTTTCTCCCGCGTAAAACAATTGTATTGTGTTTTCCTGAGCAGTACCTCTCACGCCGATCATTCCAATGCATCCCCTTCGACAAACATGGTAGGGATTGTAGGTTCTTCGATGTGCCGTTGGTGACGCCTGTGTTGCACCGCTGCACCGCCGTTGCTTGTCTTCTTGTCCGTGCCGTTTCAGACGAAACCGCCGGGGACGATGAGGAGGAAGACGAGGTAGAGGAGGTGAGCGGTACTGCTGTAGGTCGCGCGAGGTCATGGGCTGCTTGCTGTCCCCGTAGTGTAGCCGAGTAGCGTTTGCTCTCGAAGTTTTGGGAGTCAGGCGAATGGATGCAGCACGCCTTGCAGCGCCATGTGGCCCCGTTGGTCGCCTGGGGTGTTGTTGACTGCAGCGTTACAGCGGTATGTTGGGGGGCTCGCTACGTAGCGTTGAAATTGCTTGGCACTGATCGAAGCGTATACAGTACCATCAATTTGTCTCATTCTCTGAATGGTGGCGGGTCCCCGGTATAGTGCTGTTGGCCTCTGCGGGCACATGCCGGCCCCGTATTTGGCGAGCCCCCTAAATGTACTGCTGTACCCCAATTTGGCGGTGCAAGCAGAGTTACCGTAGAGTCGTGAGCCCACGCCGGGCGGGGTGAAAAGTAATACGGTTTAGGCGAATGTAGGCTACAGGCCCTCAGCCAACTCGGTCGCCAATGGAATCGTCCAACGCTACCAGGCTGATTGTGGAAGTGGCCCCGCCAAGCTACATCTGGCGCCTGCATCCCTTTATCGCTACGCCTCTCCCTTCAGGATGCTCGTATCGACTTGTTTTTCTCGTAGCCAGCTCTGGTTACCTCTTGTCCCCCTGGGTATATTCCGAAGGTTCAAACTTGAACACAAGCACAGTATGTGCGCCTTGGTCTGCGTTATTGTGTACCACGTGTGAACTTATCGTTCACCATCTGCCGAAGCACCGACACGTGGAACGCGGCTTAACCCACGCTCGTGCTACATCTAGTCTTGCTCGTCCTTTCTTTTTCCTCTCTGCCCCGGTGCCGCTGCTTTGAAGGAAAGACACGAATCAGCAGACTTTTCGATCTTAACGGCAGGCCTTGTAGCGGGGAGACATGGCACACAACTCTTCAGGATGCATTGCAGATCCTTCAAAATACCCACAGCTTGCAGATCCTTAGAAGAAAATAGCAGCCCACTGTACGGCCTGGAAACAACCTCTTAGCTGTCCCCCACCTTGTGCCGTCGCTATCTCCCAGCCGGAAGATACGATGGGGGTGGCCACCAGCGATCGACAGAGGTCAAAGATCGACGATATCTGGGCAAGCATGAACGCGAGCGGGGCTGACGCTACGGCGCCACCGGCGGGGGGATCGGGAACCCGACTTGCCGAGGGGAAGGGAACGAAGGCTACTAAGAAGAAAAAGAAGGCCAACAAGAAGGCCAACAAGGTGATGAAGGAAGAAAACACCAAGCCATGTTTGACGGTGGTTTGGGGTAGGCGAAAGCCGATGAACACACCTGCCGTGTTTGGGGATGGTTTGGAGTGGACGTGGCACCAAGGCGGTGGATGTGGCACATGGTTTGATGAACCGACAACGGCAAAATGTGCTGGCTACTTCCGCTGCTACTGCTGCTGCTGCTGCTGCATCTTTGGTTGCTACTGCTTCAGCTATGGCTTCGGCTTTGTCTGCTACGTTGCTACCTCTCGCTGATCTACGATTGAGCTGATTTACCTACGACCTTAGCTGCTACTGCCGCTGCGTTGCTATTCAGAGGTTGTTCTGATCAGCGTCCTCCCATCAACTTCCCCCTCCTGCCTCTAACTCGCCTCTGCCTCCACTCTACGTCTAGGCTACAACACCTCCTCCCCCTAGTTTGTCTATTGGTCGAGTTTTGATGTCGCAACCGCCACTCGAATACACACACGTCTCACTGAAACCCTCTCGTCTTGTGTTTCGGAACGCAGGTTCTTGCCGGGATTTTCGGCAAGAAGGCGGCGTCCGACATAGTGTCGGGGGCCGGCAAGGGCAAGCGGCGAGCGGGGACTGCGGAAGGAGCCGCGCGAAAGAAGCTGCTCGCGGCCAGCCGGAAGGTGGAGGTGACCGAGGTTAAGAAGTACGCCGGAAAGGACATCGTGTGAGTGGCTTGTTTGAGTGGTTTGTTTCGTCGCGAACACGACCTGCTTGCTTTCCCCGCCTCGCTGTTGTCTTATTTAGTTGGTTTTCCAAGGAAGCAGGAGGGCGTTCATGTTTTCGAGTGACGGTTCAGTCTGAAACCGTCGTTCCGTGTTGAAGCGTAAGCCGCGGCCCTCCGAGATTACCGGCATGTCTGCGGCCATTCCCGTTCACTGTCTTATTTTCAATAATATTAAATAATAGAGAAATGAAATCCCATTGTTAGACCGTCCCGTTCTTCCTTTTTTTTTTTTCAGCTCTACGCTCTTGTCTTCCGAGATTTGGAAGGGGCGCACAAGCGAAAATCGCCGTCAGCCTACGCCGTCATTTTTGTCTTTTATTAGGAGAACGAACGGTTCAGCTAGCCCCTTCCCTGGCTTGCACTCACGATCAAGCGCTTTTCCAGTGGTATCGACTAGATGTTGACCGCTTGTACCACTCACGAACCCTCTCCGGCACTCGAACCACCGGCCTACAGTACTCGGTCGCCAGAGCATCTCCAGGCTACCAGCCGGCTGGGTGACCGCTGCTTGATGCATTTAGTATTTGTTTTGTACAGGTTAGGGGCGGCGAGTTTCTCGTTGACGGAGGAGTAGCGTGGCCGTAGTTGGTAGAATCGCCACTGCGAGGGGCACTCATGTCTGGCTGCCGCTGTTGCTGTTGTTTCTCTTGACCGTGGTCATGACAGGGTCAAGCGAAAAGTGGCGGCAGGGTCGGCGGAGCACGTTGCCGCTGCGGGAGCGAAGAAGAAGGGGGGGCTCGATAATGTCCTCGCCGCATTAGACGGGCCAAAGTCGATATCCACGGTAGGTATGTGTGCGCGCTGTTCGCGGGGGGGGAGGGGAGGGTGAGCTACCGCGCCTTTCGCATATGGCAGGCACATTCAGGGGGGACCGCCTACGCGCAACGTGTCGGCAACCCCTCATTTCTCGTCTGTTGGCTCCTGCTTTCCTGCCCCCAATGCCTCACGGCGCTTCGCCCTTGGCGATGTGAAAGCCTGGTCTGGTGAGAACCCGGCGTGCTCCGTCCCGACTTTGTAGCGATGCTAGGTCAATGGTATAACGACTGTAAGTACCCCCTTCCACTCTTTTTCTGCGTACCCCCCCCCCCCCCCCCCCCCCCCCCCCCCCCCCCCCCCCCCCCCCCCCCCCCCCCCCCCCCCCCCCCCCCCCCCCCCCCC